ACCTCTCCTAGTCCCACCTATCTTGCTTTCCTATTGGCCAACAGTGCTTTATTCATTAACCAATAAGAGAAACATTATTTACAGACTGACATCTCCCATCAATGAGGCAGGAGGATCATGAGTTTGATGTCAGGTTGGGATTTGAGACCGTGTCTCAAAACACTAGTCCAAGAAATAATCCAATCTTCAGTTGGTTGAATTTGCTTTTGTGGTACCTGTGAAATTAGTCACAGTTCTTATCTTACCTTGGCCTGGCCAAAGCTTTGACATAACTGTTCTCATTTTTCTTTTACTTCCCCTTTTGTCTCTGCTTCCTCTTTTTTTCTCTGTTTCCTCTTTTGATCCTTTGCTGTGTGAGCTCTGTTTGGAATTGGGAAGAGAGTAAACTAGGTGAACAGAACTACACTAACAGAGAAATGGCTGACATTAACAGGAGATGTGACTGTCCTGTTGTGCATTTACTGTGAACCGTTAATTCCCGTAAAGGCTCCATACAGCAAGCCTTGTACATGAGGAAACAGGGTTTATTTTGAAGTTAATTGATGTCCCTATCAGCCTAAAGTCACTTTGATCCATGGCATTCCAGAAAGTTTAGCTATGGCTTAAGAGAGTGTCCTGTTTAATCCAGACTCCTTCAGTAGAACTGACTGGTAAACTTGGTAGAGGAAGGAGCTCTCCAAGAACAAGGGCAGTTTTAAAATTAGGTAAGGCAAGAGGTTCTTAACATACTATGCTGAGATACCCTTACCCTTTCCCACCCTTCCCTTCCCTTCCCTTCCCCTCCCTTCCTCCCCAGCAGAGACATTTGAGTGACACTGCTAGACCCCAATTGTTTCAGACAAGAATCAGTGTGTAGTTTCCCCCTGTCTTCCCCTCCCCCTCCCTTCCTCTTCTCTTTGTCTTTTCCCTCCATTTTTCTCTAGTTGATCATGGGATTTTGTTCTCTGGTTCCTATTTTTTTTTTTTTTTAAAATGTGTTTAATAAACAGTTTTATTTGTTTTAATTCTACCTCTTTCCAAAACATACTCGAGGCTTCTTAGGACTTAATAACATGAATTAAATATGAAAACATAGGTACGATCTTAAAAAAGAAGATTAAACAAGTGGCTAGCTATAGTAATTTAGCAGAATTTTATGACTAAGACATTTGCTGTCCACTTCTTGGCAGTCAGGGCAAGATAAAAAGGAGATCCTAAATGCTGTTCTTTTTAAATGAGAGACAGAAAAACAGTGGACCCGAGGAGAAAGGATGTGGGGAGGAAATTGGAAAAGTAGAAGGAGGGGAAACTGTAATGAAGATGTATACATACATATTATGAGAAAAGAATGTATTTTCAAAAAAATTAAAATAGGAAAAAAGAGGAACAGACATTTGGAATTTATAAGAAGTTGACATAGTTGTAAAAAGCAGAAAGAAGGAAGTGCTTAGCAAATACTGAAAGGTGACAACAGCCTTTCAGCTATGGGGCTTCCTGGGGGGTTTATGTGATAGCGGTATCCTTGGCAACAACTTCAAACAAACACTGATGCGGGTTTCGATATTACCCTTCCTTGTAGTTGAAGACATAGCATTAAAGACAAGCCCAGTGTGGCAAACTTTCGAGATGACATGAAATTGAGCATCTCTTAGCAGACCCACCATTTCTCACCCTTGCTTTTCTTCTCGTTTCTACACCCTCTCCTTTAGAGTCCTCTGTCACAGCACCATGAGTGTGATGGGAGAATTCTGTCCTTAATTTACAGCGCCATCCACTTCTCATTTGTTGACTGAGGAACTTAGAACTTTTACTTGTTGGAAGCCCCTTGAGATTTGCCCTGTCTTGGTCTGGGTTCCAAGTTTCCCTAACTGACTCTAAGAAGAGCATGGCAGTTTGGATACTTATTGTCACAGGTGGCACACACCTGCCTCATGTGTGCCCATGTGACTGCCTCTGGGCAAGGAATATTTTCCCTCTATGTCTTTGTGACAAAAAATGATGAATCCGTGTGTAGTATGGAGCAGGAGGCGTGTGGTAGGCACATTTAGGGATAGAAAACCTCGATGCCTTCTCTGTCATCCTAAATAAAGTAGCAGTGTCTGGAAAATACTGAATTCTACACTGGTGGGTTCATTCCTGCTACTCAGGCTTGTTTATGTTTCTGGCTCTCGTATGCAGTGGTGAGTGGGTCTGAGCCAATGGGAGGGCTATTTTTACCACACAGATTCTGTTTGTGTAAGCTTGCACATCAGTTGTCTCTCTCCTTTTTGACAGCAAACATTAATGCTTGAGGACACACTGCCACTCATTTCGAGGAAATACCAAGTATTTGATATTTATCTGCAGCCAGACAAAATCAGTCTCAAGTTGTTTCCATAGATCTCAAACATAAATATTTACACAAAACAAGGTTATACATTATGGTATTTGCTCTGTCATGTGTGGAGATATGATTATTTCCTATGGAAGATTGAAAGTTTTGTTGAGCATTGATTTAGTAATAGGCAGCAGGTTCAGAGCATGAGACTACATCAGCAATAGCAGATATAGTGTCTATTGCAAATCTCTAGTCTTGCTGAGAAGTGAAAAGTTTCAATTGAATTAGGTAAGTAAAATGTTACAAGGAGCTATGTCTTATAGTGAAATTTGAATATAGACATAACTAGGAGCTAAGAGTTTGGTGAAAGGCTAGGAGTAGGTAGATTTTTAAATCAAGTATTAAAGGAGACAGGTGCCCTCCTTTGGAAGAATCTACTGAAATAGGACATGTAGTGAGGTTTATTTATACCTTGAAAGTTGTGCTGTGTTTTCTAGAAGATTCATGAAATGGAGATTGGATATCTATAAAAAAGTTTCATAATGCTATTAAAATATAATCAATGAATTACTTTTAAAATGTGTGAAACATGGTGCATGGCTCATTGAAACATTCTGGTGTATTTCTTATTATGTTAGATCTACATGTTACACACACACACACAAGCACATACACATGAAATTCTTTGTAAGACTCCAGAATGCTCTTGGATATTAAGATTATATATATATATATATATATATGTATATATATATATATATATATATATATATATAAAAATTTAACTCCTTTGTCATCTGCAGTGGTGAGAACATCATTTATTGTTTCTTTTAAGGACATTAATTCTGTTGATTGTTCCAGATTTACTTTTAAAAAGATGTTTTACTTTCATTGAAAACTAAGAATTAAAAAATATTTTATGAAGATCTTTTCTGAACCTTTAAAATTAATCATTCAAACTAAGTGTGGTTGACACACACTTGTGATTCCAGTACCCAGGAAATTAAGACAGAGGGGTACCAAGTTCAAGACCAACCTGGACTGCATAACAAATAAATCCACTGAACATGCACGTGCAAACACACACACACACACACACACACACACACACACACACACACACACACACAAAACCTTCAAAAATTGAATATAGTCTGGACTGTTTTTATAACATTATTTTATCTCAGGATTCTTAGTTTTCCTTTTTAAAAAAAGGAGATTGTGATACTTTTACTTAAAATTCTAAAATGTGGGTTTTCTTATACACATCCATATGAAATAACTTTTAGTGACATTGTAGACATACTCCAATTAACTGTTTCTACTGGTGCAATAAGTCAGTTATGATGAAAAGACTGTGCCAGACTTGATGCACACCTTTAATCCAAGCCCCCCAGTGGCAGAAGCAGTGTGTCTCTGTGAGTTTGAGGCCAGCATGTTCTACACAACCAATTCTAGGTCAGCTAGGGCTACAGAGTAAGACCAAGTCTTAGAAGAAGGAGAGAAGATGGAAAAGATGTTTCTTTCCTTTTTTTCTTTCTTACTCACATTTTCTTAATAAAAGTTCATTGGCCTCCTGTCCATCTACCCATTTATCTATCCATTCATCCACCCACCCATCCATTCATCCACCCACCTATCCATTCATCCACCTACCCATCCATTCATTCACCTACCTGTCCATTCATCCATTCGCACATCCATTCATCCAATCACTCACCAATTTTGTATTAAGTTTCTACTATATTCAAGAGAATGTTCTGGAGTCTGAATGTGTGAATAGGTCCTCTAAAAGTGAAGCCCTGAGACTTAAGACTTGGTAAGACTGAATCAGGAAATGTCACTTTCTGTGTGCAAGGTTTAATATTAGTTTGTAAGAGTTTCTAAGAGTCTGTAAGACAGCAAGGCTAAAGTCCCCTTCGGGGAGATGGGTGAAAGCATCCAGAATCTGTGAGGGAGGATGAGATACTTCATTTTTGCTTTATATGAGAGGGAGAACTCTGAACTTTTTATTTATTTATTTATTTTCTTATAGATCCCAGTTCCTTCTCCCTCCCTCTCTCCTTCCCTCCTATGCCCCCCAACCATCCTCCCATCCCACCCCACCCCCCACTCCACAGGGAGGGTGATGCCATCCAGGAGGGGTCAACAAAATCTGTCAAGTCATTTGTAGTAGGGGCTAGGCCCTCCCTCCTGCCCTCCATGGGAAATGTGCTCCCAAAGTCCTTTTGTGCACCAGGGATACAGCCTGGTTCCACTGTCAGAGGTCCCTTAGACTGCCCAGGTCTTCTAACTGAGACCCATGTTCAGGGGGTCTGAGTTGGTCCAATGCTGGATTCCCAGCTCTCAGTCTGGGAATCCATTAGCTCCCCCTTGTTCAGGTCAGCTGTCTCTGTGGGTCACTGTAGCCTGGTCTTGTTCTCCCTCTCTGCACACTAGACTTAGCACCTAATAAAGCAAGTGTGATCAAAGGCATCTGTTCATGGCTCAAAGTATATATTCTATACTTTGATTCTATGATATATTTAGTTTCTTTACCATGGTTAAAACTTATCACATACATATTAACATGGTAGAAAGTATGAGAAGCGGTCTGCCCGAGAACCCATATCCTTTTATTCCCCCCCCCCCACTAATGGGGATTTTAAGTTATTCAGAAAGTCTTTATTATGGTCTTTGCTCAGTCTCCTTTTTCTTTTTTCAGATATAAAATTGGTAAAGGACTGGAGGATTTAAAAGCTGTTAAGCCAGTTGGAGAGACATATATCCATGAAGGACTAAAGCTTGTAAGTCATTTTATATTTATATTTGGAGACACTGGCTTCATATTATATAAAGAAAATTCCTTTACATGTTTCTGTCTATTTTTCCAGTGGTTTAGCCATCCTAGATATGAGACTGGAAGAAAACACCACTTATTGTCACTGTTGATAGGCAAAGTTTGTCTGTATTTTGTCTCAACAAATCTTTTTCCCTCTGGGGCTATATTTAGGTTAATCACTCATAATCAATCACAAGTATAAAAATATCAGTGATATATCCACATATTTCATATTTCATTCATATTTCAAATAAAAATGCCAGCACAAGTACCTGGTTTTATCAACTAGTACATATAAATGTGCAAGTATTATTTTGTAATCCTTAATAGTTTATTTTGTCATATCTACAAATTCAGCCCTATAGACTATGTTGGCTAAAAGTTAAAGATAGCTTGGGTGGTGGTGGCACATGCCTTTAATCCCAGCACTGGGGAGGCAGAGGAGGTTTATGAGTTCCAAGGCAGCCAGGGCCATACAGAGAATCCCTGTCTTCACCCTCCCTCCAAAGTTAAGATTAAATGGTTAGTTGTGTAATTATTCTTCATTTTTAGGCAAATGAACAAATTAAAAATGCAGGAGGCTTGAAAACCTCCAGCATTATAATTGCCTTGACAGATGGGAAGCTGGATGGCCTGGTACCATCTTATGCTGAGAATGAGGTGAGTACTGAGTGGAGGATGTTCAAGCCCACTATTGCACTTAGCTGTGTGCGCACATATAGCTTATTTGAATCTCTCTCTCTCCTTCCTCCCTTCCTCCCTCTCCCTCTCCCTCCATCTCCTGTTTTTTTTCTCCATAGGCAAAGAAGTCCAGGACACTTGGCGCTAGTGTTTATTGTGTCGGAGTCCTTGATTTTGAACAAGCTCAAGTGAGTTGCACCAGATCCGTAAACTATAACTCACTAACTTGCCTTAAAGATAGTTAAAAGAGCTCTTCTGTTGTGATTTATAAAGATTTTGCATAAAATGATATATGTTTTGGGTTTTCCTAAAATGTCAGAATGTTTATAGGTCTTATGGAAAATGAAACTCAAAATGAATTTCTTCAATATTTATTTGATGTGGGTTTTAAAAGAAGATAAATGTTTAGATTAATGCTATGTAAATGTCCTTTTATTTTAATTGGCAAGACTATGAAGACAGTTATATCTAGAAAGTCTTATTTGCAGGAATTTGAAGAGTCCATTTCTCTAAAATCTTTGAGATTTTTTTTCATAGATAAATCTATGTTTTCATGAAGTTTTCTCACAAATCACTTTACATTTAATTTCTATGTAATGGCTAATTTCATAATCTCCTGCCATTTACAGCAGTTAGACCACCTCTATATTGCTTTGACTTTTTAGCCAGTGATCTCAGTTCATTCATGGTAGTATCTTTGGAAGGAAATTGGTCTCCTCACTATCAGTCCTTGACCTTAAATTTTAGTTGTATTTTATAATTACATAACACTCTTCCGTGTGCATGTGCGTGTATACATATATATACATGTATATGTATATGTATATATATGTATATATATATGTATACACGCACACACACACATACATATATAATCATTAAAATAATTGTATGTCACAAAGTGAATGAGTCATAGGCAATAACTTGTCAGAAGAATGTAACTCAAGTAGTTTTCCATGCAAGCTTATAAAGGGCTGTGTGTTTCAACCTCCTCTTATGCTTTCCTCTTCTTTCTAAAGCTGGAAAAAATTGCTGATTCTAAGGACCAAGTTTTCCCTGTCAAAGGTGGATTTCAAGCTCTTAAAGGGATCATCAATTCTGTGAGTATGCCTCTGGGGTCTACAGGGCTGACAACTTTACCTGCAGTAGTTAGAGAAAGGAGAGCGAGCTTTGTCTGTTGCTGCCAATTGGATGTAATTCTAAAGAGCCTGGCTTCTTTGTCCATGAGCTTTGACACCGTTTTCCATGCATGCTTTGCAATCCTGGGCTGGTGATGTCTAGTTTGATATTTTCGCAAACTGTCTCCGACATCTCCACCCTTTCAGTGAGGGGTTAACCATCTCATACCTCGAGAGTTTCTCCAGGCTTTACAGGCGAAACGTAAAAGAAAAAAAAAAATTGATTGGAATGTGTGATGGCTGCCTCCTCCAAGCCTGGTTGGGGATTAGTCAGGCAACTTGATCCAGAGGCTGAAGACTTGACAGCAGTTGTTCTTCCCATTTAAATGATTAATAGTTTCCCTGGAGCACATAACATTTCTGTTTGGGATTCAGCAGCATCTTCCCTGGTGATTGTTAGACTCAGGGCTCTCCTGAGCAGGGTCTGGCGGGGAAGGCGAGGAATGAAATTTGGAGTCGAGTTCCTGGCTCTTGCTTTAGAGGTTTATGTTTCATTTTACTGCCTTTTTGCTAGAAGCACTAGGAACAGTTGCTATTAAGTATTTATGGTATTTGGTAAACATCACCCTAGACTGCGAGGGAGTATATATTCTCTAAGCAAAATCTTTTCCCTTAATGTTTAGGCATTTATAAAAGGGAGAAGTATCTCACTGCCAGCATTAGGCTCTGGCATTTTAAAGTTCTCTATAAAGATCATGTCTCTCTGACAGATAGGGTGAGATTTATTGGCTTTGTTTTTACAAAATGAATGGAATTTTTAGGGAAGACGTATAATTTGGTTCAGTCACATATAGTGGACATCCCAAACATAAATGCAGAATAGATCAGAGATTAAATCATTGCAGGATTTTAGTAGATTATTAGTTTTGATTTTTTTTTTTTTTTTTTAGGGAAGAATTGCCATGTGAAAATAGTTAAGTTTTATGGCTAAGTTCAGGGTAAATAACAATACATATGAAATGGAAGGTTATCTTAGAGCCTGGAATCTGAGTGATGGTCATGAGGGTTTAGGAAAAACAACCAATAGAATTGGATGGGGAGATTTATAGAATGGAGTCACGTGTTCACAATCTCTTATAGTTGTCCTTGTGAAAGATGGCAAAAGGGATGGAGGCAGTCTGAGGTTGGCAGGAGGAGGACCAGGTAACCTGCTGCTATGGAACCATGTGACTTGGAATGTATCCTGTAATGTAATTCCTCTGAGTTTTAAATTTCATCAGTGGAATGGAAGTGATGACTTGTATTTCATTAGATCATTAAGAGCATTCCAGGGCAGGGGTGCTGGACTTGAAAACATTTGGTGGGAAGTTAGGAGCAGAGACCAATAACCATATAAGATGTAGCAATTGATCCATCTGTGATGAAATCTATAGGGAAAGATGTTCGGCAATGTGTGTGCCAAAGTCTTAGGGATAACAGGATATGATTGTATGTGGGTTGAATTCAGTGAGTGAGTCATAGGAAGGATTTCTAGATGGTATGATAATCAATGTCAGGTGTTTGGTCACACACTACTTCCAAATCTTTAGGTCATGGGATCAAGACTCAGTCTCAAACTCGGTAATGAGATCTGGAGTTGCTATATCAATAGTTATCTAAAATTTCAGGACCCCACATTCACAAAAAGGCCACAATTTCTTTTGAGAGAGCCCCCTTTTCCAGTGCTACTCAGAGCCATGCAATCAAAAGGGAAGATTTACCCAAAGAATCATAGTTCCTTAAGGCAGGAGATTTTTCACTTGTTCAGAATAAAACTAAGTCAAGTACTTAAGTGGGGAAGCATTCAGCAGGTTGGCTTCCCTGGCCAGAATGAAGTCAGTAGAGTGAGCTTGAACCTTCAGCTATGTAATTCTTTACTCACACTGCAATGACTCCTAGGCTTAGGGGCGGTACCAGAGCTGTTGTCCTGTTATCTGTGATAGACTGGTAATAAAACAGTGAATTTGGATAGTGCAAAAGTTACCAAAGCCTAAGAGGTCACTGGATCATGGGACTAAAGGAGCAAAAAAGGAGAATCAAGTGTAACATCCGTAACATTAGCATTTGGCTCCTAATATGGATAACTTAGCTGAAGGCAGAGTGACAGAAGACAGAGAAGACAGAAGTCTACTGGACAAAACAGAAGAGGTCAGCAGAGAGGGGAATCCAACTGGCTGTGAGAAAAAAATCCTGGTAGGGATGTCCCTTTGAAAACTGGAGGACAAGTTAAATGTTACGGCTGGAAATTTTTAAAACTGTGTCAGTACACCTCATTTGCTCACTTCTCCCACCACTTTGACTACAAAGCATATATTTCTATTTTTTCTAAACTTCAGATTATCTTTTGAAATTGTAGTTATTGGAATTATTTGTGGTTCCCTGAGGAAATGATTATAAGATTTATATTTGAAAATGAAACTGTATTTGAACTACTAAAAGTCAGACTGACTTGTGAGTGCACCGTGTTTCATGGTTAGTGATTCATTACACAATGCTGTTGAAGAAAAGATAAAAATAAAACAAACCCACAGATTGATGAACAGCCTAGAAAGAGCAAAAACAAAAATGTTCTGTGGAAACTCCCCTGCTTTTATTTTTTCAAAATAAGAGCATGGATGTTTCACTACTTAGAATGATTTATACAGGTTTTGTTTTTAAGAAGAGTATCTTGGAAAAGCTAGTTTCATAGAATGACAGTGATCCAAAACTTAAGAACACTACAGTCAGGGTAACTGTGGTTAATGAGAATTTTGTTTGAAAAAAGATCTACCATAAAGTAGAGGTGCATAAACAGAAAGGGAATGGCCCAAGGTGGAGTGTATTCAGCAATAGATACTTTCTATTGCTGTACAACATAGATTTAAAAAGTTACTTCATCCAAAGTGCTGGAAATATGAATATCGGCATCTGGAGGTAAACAGTTACTACTTGTGTTCATTGTTGTTTCACTTGAAAAAAATCTGAGTGGGTGTAAAAAGAGGAGATACTCATTTCTCTCTTGGCAAAGGGAGAAGTTGGAGCCTAATAACTGTCCCCCACAGTGACTTTAGTGACCATCTTAGCTGGGGAAACCTGTATTTGTACAATCATGCTTGATAAAAAGCTCAAAACTTGAGCAATTTTAAAGATGTAGTCTTAAGGGGAAAAGAAACAAATTGCAAGATTTATTCAAACCTGGAGTCAGTTTTCAGGGTGTTGGCTAGAAGTTGGATGATAACCAGGGATTAGAACATAAACTCCCTTTTCTTTTTATCTAAAGTCACAAGGTTCCTTAGTTTTTTAATTATAAACAAGCTATTAAGATAAGAAAAAAATAATCTTGTGATTAGGATACTGTACATAATTACAATTACATGTATTGTAAAACCACTTCAGAATGAAGAGCTTCCACATGACTGTAATGGAATTCACAGACAATTTTAAGTGAGGGGTTGCTCTTCCTTCCTTCTTCCTTCCTTCCTTCCTTCCTTCCTTCCTTCCTTCCTTGCTTCCTTTCTCTTTCTCTTTCTTTCTTCCTTATTTCCTTTCTTTTTCCTCTTTCTTTCTTTCCTTCCTTCCTTCATTCTTCCTTCTTTCCTTCCTTCTCTCCTTTCTTTCAGAAATGCCAAATTAATAAAGCAAGATAAACAAAAAACAGTGGATAAGCATAAAAACACTAAGCAGTCTAAACCTTGCTATGAGCATCAATTGCTTCCATTTATCAGCCTCTGCCAATGCATGCCTATTCCCTTTTTGAGCTCTAAGAGCAATTTCCTCCAAGGAATACATATGCAGCATAACCACAAATACCCCCAGTTATTGCAGAACTTACAGCCTACAGAGAAACTGACTCCTTTTTAATCTAGATAGTTATACAGTATATGAACATTCAAAGTTAACTTTGAGTCAACATAACTTTGATTTCACCCTGTATTCGTGCTGTACTCCAGCTGGATCACAGCTGATAAGAATTCACTTAAGTGTAAGAGTGAAAAAAATATTAATCTGTAAAACTAGGTAATCCAGAAAAGGAAACTGCCTGAGGGATAGCTGGACCCAGATTGGTGAATGTTGTCTACGGCTTTGTTTATTTATTCTCTCCTGCATAGAGGAGGGGTAGAGGGTCAGGCTTGCAGAAGGCTGCAATGGTCGTCTGTGGTCAGCAAGCCCATTGGAAAGTAACCACTACCGACAGCACTCAGACCACAGGACTTGGATCAGAGATTCGTCCTAGTAAACTGAGTAATGACATTATGTCAACATCATTTAGGCCTCTTGGAATAATCTTCATCTTTGTCCCCATGTCCTGAGGTTTAGGTCAATAGGGTGCTGTCATGATCAGCAGCCTCACTAGGGCTATTTGAAATAGGGACACTTTTTCCAACAGAGAAGAGGCTTTATCCACAGAAAAAGAAGATGTTGGGGGTGGGGAGGAATCAGTAAATAGTACAGCTTACCATAATAATTATACACATTTAGACTGTTCACAAACACTCTAAACAGACAACACATTTATTCTAAATTCTCTTTACCTAAAGATGAAAATGGAGAAGTTAAATTGATTATTTTATTAACCAAACTTATGATTTGATACCTAATACAAACATTCAGCATTTCTTTAAGAAATACTTAGGTTAAAATTATAGCTTAAAGAAATGAAGTCCACTTTGAATTATTAATTACAGCTTTATGATATTCTGCGAGAAAACTAAACTGTTGGCATTAGGTAATCAAAAAAAAAAAAAAAATCCAATGTTCTATTTGTTAGCACTAACCTGTAAGGGCTAGCTAGGTTTTTGTTATGGTTTCTGTTCATGTGTGTGAATAAACATGTCCCTGTAGAAGTCAGAAGACAGCATGAGTGTTGTTGTTGATCACGTCTTTGTGTTTGACAAAGTGTTTCTTATTGGCCTAGAAGTTCAAGTAAACTAGGATTCATGGTCATTGGACTCCAGAGATCCATT